CCTGTAATACCAGCACTTCAGGAGGCCGAGGTGAGCGGATCACCGGAGGTCAGGAGTTCCTGAGGTAAAGAGTTCGAGACCAGCCTGACCAACATGGAGAAACCCCATCTCTACTAAAAAATACAAAATCAGCTAAGCATGGTGGTGTATGCTTGTAATCCCAGCTACTCGGGAGGCTGAGGCAGGAAAATCACTTGAACCCGGGAGACGGAGGTTGTGGTGAGCCGAGGTCGTGCCATAAAAAAAAAGAAAGAAAAAGAAGAAAAAGAAAAGGTGAATTCAGGTCCTGTGCCTTGCAAAGATTCCAGCCCATTCACTGGAGCTCAGCCTGGAAGCGCTCAAGTCCAGAGTGCCAAGTTCCCAGCTAGAACAGGCTCTGCTCTGAGCCGAGAGCTTCCCTGCCTACTGCCCGGGTGTTCTGCAGTGTTTGATGGGTGCCTTCTGTTAAATGGGCACAGTCTCCTGTGCTAGGGTAGAGGGATGCACTTCTTTTGCTTGTGGGAGGGGACTTTGTGTGACAAGCCCCCACCTCTGCGTCATTGGAGAAGTTTGTTTTCGTCCTGCCATGCCTGCCCTTTCTCCCAGTAAAAGTCGGGGCTCCTTACCTGGTGGTGGACGGGGGAGGGAAGGAGCTGCCCCAAGGCCTGGACTGGGCGGGCCTTGGGGCATCTCTGCCCAGTAACCTGTTTTGCTTTGGGAACACCACAAGTATTTCTCTCAGGGTTCTGGAAAGAATCGGCCTCAGAGACACCTGTCAAAGTCTTTTGGGTCAATATGATGTGTAAAAATGGATGGAGTTTGGGGGGAGGGGGCTAAAAGGGAGTGACATCTTCTCCATGGCGAGAAGAGTACCAACCACAGCCAGCTTTAAACTCCAAAAGACACAGGCTCAGAAGTGTCCAGGCCCCCAAGTAGTGACGGGGTAGCCAAGATGGGGACCACCATGGCCAGGTCCCAAAGTCAAGGCTTTTTGGGGAAAAGAGTAGGTATGGGATGGGCGGGGGACGGATGACCACCTCTTTGGGAAGAAGAATAGGTATGGGTGGGGGTGACAGATGATCACCTCTTTGCGGCCCAAGGCCTGGTTCCGGCCACCCTCCGCCTTCCTCCCGGGCTGGTGGACTCCACTGGTGATCAGACGCCGGCGGCACAAACAATGGCGCTCTGTCCCGAGCTCTCCCGGGACGACAGCTCATCCCTATGCAGTGGCCGCCTCCCCGACCCAGGCCCGGCCGCCAGCCCTTTTCAGGCCGTGGAAGCCTGGGCGGCGGCGAAGAGGATTCTCACAGGCCGTTGGGCATTTGCATAGCCAGCTCGCCCGCCCGGAGACATTGGCCCGCATTGTTCCTGGGCGGTGGCGGCGGGCGCACGGGCCGGGGCGCGCGGGGCGGCGCGGCGGACCGGCTGGGAGCGGGCGGGCCAGACAAAGGAGAAGGGGCGCGTAGGGCCGGAGGCGGCGGTGGGGGAGATCCTGACGGTGGGAGCGGAATATCGGGGTGAGGTGGGGGAACCGGGCTGCCTAGCTGGTCTGCCCCGGGACGGCCACCGCCCCGCGCTTGGGACACCCACGCCGTGTCTAATTCCTCCCCGAGTTGGGGCCGCCGCACCGTGATGTGAATCCCAATAGGGGGGATCTCAGGCCTTTCCCAGGCTGCGCGGGGTTCGGAGGGCCGGGTCCTCTGAAGGTCAGAGGAGCAGCTTCTAGCTCCTGGCCGAGGGGCTCTGGCCGCACAAGGCAGAAGAACCTCGGGGCTCCTGGGGACCTTGGGCCTCCTATCCTGATGTCCCTGGGCAGGAAATCCTGCTGTGGTCCATACACACTTGTGCCAGGCCAGAGCAGCGGCGGCTTCGGAGAACCTTTCCTCAATGCCGCTGGCTCTGCGGGCTTCCACCCTGACCCCAGCGCGGCCTGTCTCCCCGCATCAGCCTTCTCCGGGAGGCAGGCAGGGGCGGTGCCTCGTCCATCATTGTCCGCAGAGATCAGGCACTGGGGTTGGACAGGCAGAGTTCATGAGCGGGCAAGTGTCCGATTGTCCCTCTCTGAGAGGAATAATGGTGCTGATCAGAGGGGCTGTCCCTGAGGGGCAGAGGCCTCATTGTCCTGAAGGGGTGAGGAAGGAGCCCCCTTGGCCCCTGTCCCCGGCATCTCCTTGACCTGCTCGTTGTCCCCCTGTTGACCCAGCCTGAATAAATGGGCCACCATGTGGGAGACGATGCCGCTGAGGCAGGGGAGAGGAGGGAAGGGCTTGGTGGTCTTTGAGCAGGGGCGCTAAAGGTAACTGTCTTTCCTGCCCTCTGGGCTCCCTGACTGAAATCAGTGGCGGAATGGTCACCCACACCCACACCCACACCACAAAGAAAGGCTCAGCCCTATGAAGTGGAACCAGGGCTGGAAGGCCTGGAATGAGTCCAGCATTCAAGGTAAAGTAGGGGGAGGGACAGGAGGAAATACAGAGTGAAAAACCAAGAGCCCAGTTTAAGAAAGTTCAGTCCTGGGCAGACAGCCCCTGAATGAGAATGGGATGGGGTGCAGGGGCTAGAGGCAGGGCTCAGCATCATTGCTTGGGCCAGGGAAGGCTTCACAGACGGGATAGAGCTTGGCACTGTCTGTGTCCGGGGCACACAGGGCCCTCTGACGGGTTAGCTCTCTCCCCGCCCCTTTCTCAGGACATCTTGGCAGGCTATGATGAGACCTACACCGTTTTGTCCCATGGAGCCTGTCTGGGCAACTGCCTTCTAAAGAGGGATCAGTCGTCCCTATTCCAGGAAGCCTTCCTGGATTGAGATGGGCCACTTTCCCCCAACCATGACTAGCCTGGGCTACAGCTGCCCATTTTTTCAGGCCTGGAGAAGGCTTGGTTGCAGTCTGGAAGAAATCAGCCAGCAGAGGGAAAGGGTCAGGTTGTAAAATGTTGGCGCCATGAATTTTGTTTGTTTTTTGAGCTAGGGTCTCTCTCACCTAGGCTGGAGCACAGCAGAGCGATCATGGCTCAGTGTAATGAACTGCCAGGTTCAAGCAATCCTTCTGCCTTAGCCTCCCGATTAGTGGGGACTACAGATGCATGCCACCACACCTAGCTATTTTTTGTAGGGATGGGGCCCCACTGTGTTACCCAGGACGGTCTCAAACTACTGGGGTCAAGCAATCCTCCTGCCTCAGCCTCCCAAAGTGCTGGGATTACAGGTGTGAGCCACCTCACCCAGCTGGTGCCATGAATAAATGAAGATTTGTAGCTTTCCTCACCCAAAATGGGCTGGGGCAGGGAGGGGTCTCATCCTACCTTTGAATCCCCCTTTCCTGAAGGTCTTCTTTCAGATCTCTGGGGACTCTGGGGCAGAACAGGCCAGCTGGCTGTATCTGGGCCCATGCAGAGCAGAGCTGGGGACTGAGGCCCTAGAGGTAGAATGGGAGTGGGGCCTCAGCTCTCCCAAACTCCCTCCCTTCCTCCTAGCAAGGGCTGACAGTGACTTAGGAACGTTTTTGTGATCCCAGCTGTCGTCCTTCTGCCTCCACACAAGGGACTCCTCCCAATACACCTACCCCAGCTAACAGTGGGCACGGGGAGCGGTGGAGGAAGGAGGGGGGGTGAAGGGGCAGAGGCACAACTGGGTCACATGAGCTGGGATGGCTCCACGGAAGCCTTGTCCCTCAACCTCCTTCTCCTCACCTCTGTGCTTGGCCTCTCCAGCCGGCCCGCTCAGTCCCTCTAGCTATGGGGGGCATGGAGCCTAATGGGGTCACCTTTTGTCCTAATTCCAGGCCTAGGTCCCAGGAATCCCTCTACTTTCTCCTTGGGTTCCTAGGTCTGATTGGTCTTGTTTTTTGTTGTTGTTTGTTTGCTTTTTTTGAGACACAGTCTCACTCTGTCACCCAGGCTGGAGTGCAGTGGCGCAATCTCAGCTCACTGTAACCTCCACCTCCTGGGTTCAATTGATTCTCCTGCCTCAGCTTCCTGAGTAGCTGGGATTACAGGCATGCACCACCACACCTGGCTAATTTTTGTATTTTTAGTAGAGACAGGTTTTCACCATGTTGGTCAGGCTGGTCTCAAACCCCTGACCTCGTGATCTGCCTGCCTCAGCTTCCCAAAATGCTTGGATTACAGGTGTGAGCCACTGCACCTGGCTCTGGTCTTGGTTTTAGGGGAGAAATAGCTGTAGTCAGAAGCCTAGGGGAAAGGCAGATGAAGGCAGACGGGGTTCCAGTCCTTCAGTGTTAGAAAGGAGGCTCCAGTCTACTTGGAGGGATGGATTTCTGCTGGATGAGAGATCTGAAACTCCTGGCATCTGCCTGACATGTAGTGGGGGATAGGAGATCAAAAAAGGCTTGTGGCATGAATGCACGAGGACCAGAGCTGAAGCAGACAGGAAGGGAGTCAGGCTGTAGGAAGGACTTTCATTCTTCATAGAGGACCAAGGAGGGGCAGAAAGGCGGCATCTTCCTCTGCTGGGTTTGGAGCGCCCTCTGGTGGTCAAATTACTTCAGGACAACAGAAGCCCTTGGATAGGGGTCCGCGAGTGTCTTCATTCTTCTCTGCCACAGCCCTAATCACAGGCCCTAAAGTGACACCCTTGCAATTCCCCACTCCTCAGTCTCGGGACTGAGATATAAGTGGCACCGAGGTGCTTGCTGCTTCTAGCTTCTTAGGGTTGGTGGCAAACAACTTATGTCTCCCTTGGGCCCTGTGGGCACCCTCTTCCTTCTCTGCTGAGAGGCTGCCCAAGGTGAAAGTCAGAATGGCAGCAGTTCTGGAATAGGAAGAACTCTTCCCCACAGCCCAAGCCATCCTGTAACAAAACACCCTGTTTTCTGGGAGAGAATGAGCTCCCTGTGCCTCAGCAGGGCACTCGCTTGGTAGGACATGGCACGCGAGAGGGAGTCCAAAGATCAAGAATCATCCTGCCTCACCAGGAACCTCCAGGAGGTCCTACCATTGTGAGTGGGAAGGTAAGAGGAACTTCCCATGTTCCCGGGGCACAAAGACAAGGAGTCAGAACCCTTAGAGATGTGGCATTTATCACCCTCAGCCAGGCCCGGCTCGGGCTTCACTAACTGTGTGATGTGGGGCCAGTGGGTCACTTGGGTGCCTCACTTTGGCCCCTTCTACCCCTGTGCAGGCTGGTAAGGCAGTCGGGTCAGGCATCTGGTGAGGTTCCCCCTACTGTACCCAGTTACGGCCCCACTGCCCACCATCTCCCAGCCTGCTACCCCTCTCCTCTGGAGATGCTGCCTGTGGAAAGGGGCCTCCTTTCAGCTCATGGCTCCTTTCTTGCAGCTGGAGGAATGGGAGCTCAAAAAGAACTCCTAAGAGTAGCCAATCAGCATCTTCTAAAAGGAGCGCATCCTCTCAAGGGCCAGCAGCATGTCAGGCCTGAGTGTCTGCTTCCTCCATCCTCAGAGGTCTCTGGGCTTTCACCTCATGCTCGCCAGGCACCTGGAAGGAAAGAGTGGGTAGAGGTGAAAAGGTAGCTCCAGGAGCTACAGGCGCAGCAAGGAAGGAAGAAGGCGTCGAGGCAGGGAAGGGAGGCTCAGAGGGTGTGAGGGCCCAGCTGTGTCTCACCTCCCAGTGAACCTGGTCCTCGTAGCACTGGGAGTCTTCGGGGGAGTCCAGGAAGGGCAGCTTCAGCAGGAGCCCTGTTGGTGGTAGGGGAGGATCTGTGAGGCTTCTCTGCCCCCTACCATGGAGGAGGGTGCCACCCACTGCCACAGGACACAGGGGTCTGGGAGGCATGAGATCAACATGATGCCTGTGCAGACAAAACACAGCTGTATGTGTTGAGCATCTACCATGTGCCAGGCCCTGTGCAAAGTACTTGACCAGTCTTGCCTTCCTGAGTCATCACAGCAATGCTGCAGCCAATATTACCCCTGCAGTACAGACAAAGAAACAAGACTCAGAGAAGTCAAATAATTTTCTCAAGTGTGTGCATTTGGTAATAGACCAGCTCTTGATTCCATCATGAACCACAGCTGCTGAGCTTTCTGTGGCCTCCCACACAGGAGAGGCACAGAAAATGCTTATTGCAGCCAGGTGCTGTGGCTCAGGTCTGTAATCCCAGCACTTTAGGAGGCTGAGGCAGGCAGATCACTTAAGGTCAGGAGTTTGAGACCAGCCTGGCCAATATGGTGACAGCAAGCCCATCTCTACTAAAAGTACAAAAATTATCCGGGTGTGGTGGCATGCAGCTACTTGGGAGGTTGAGACAGGAGAATCAATTGAGCCTGGAAGACAGAGGTTGCAGTGAGCTGACAGTGTGCCACTGCACTCCAGCCTGGGTGACAGAGCGAGACTCTGCCTCAAAAAAATGCTTATATCGTAAGTAAGTTATGAAATGAATGAATGAATTAAACCATATTAGAGAATGAAAATCTCTAGGTGGTCAGGCACAGTGGCTCACGCCTGTAATCCCAACACTTTGCCAAGGCGGGTGGATCACCTGAGGTCAGGAGTTTGAGGCCACCCTGGCCAACATGGTGAAACCCCATCTCTACTAAAAATACAAAAATTAGCTGGGTGAGGTGGTGCCCGCCTGTAATCCCAGCTACCAGGGAGGCTGAGGCAGGAGAATCGCCTGAAGCCAGGAGACAGAGGTTGTAGTGAGCTGAGATTGTGTCACTGCCCTCCAGCCTGGGCAACAGACCACAGTTCCAAGGCTCCATCTCAAAAAAAAAAAAAAAAAAAAAAAAAAAAAAAGGAACCAGAAGGAAGGCAGACAGACCAAGGCTCCATCTCAAAAAAAGAAAAGAAGGGAGGGAGGGAGGGAGGAAGAGAGGGAAGGGAGGGGAAAGGAGGGGAGGGGAGGGGAGAAGGGTGGGTCTCCAGGTAAGAGCAGAAGGGTGGGGATGCTGAATCAGGTTTTATTTTGAAGGCCAAAAAGACTAAGGCCACACATGAAGAGCGGCTGCCTGACACGGGCCGTGGGCAGCTTCGTCTGTGGAAGGTTTTCACGCTGGGTTCTGGGGGTGGCAGGCCATCTCCTCCCCTCCCAGTCCCTGCCCCAAAGGGCGCAGCCGGCCCCTTCTAGGCCTCAGCCTGAGGTCGGGCTTCCCTCTAGTGGACAGAGGGAGCAGCACAGGCAAGCACGGCCGGTAAGAGAGAGCCTCGCTCCCCTCCTGCCGGCTGCCCTGCTGCCCTTGGCACCAGAAAGGAGCAAGCACCCGCCTGCACCTCCGTGCCTGCAGGAGGTTACCCCTGAACCCACAACCCAACCCCTACTTTATGGCACCAAGTAGATGTCCATAAATACCTGTGAGCGAATGAATCCATGTCAGGGGTGTAGGACCCCACGCCCCTTCCTCTGGAAGATCCAAGGTTACTCACCTCCAAGGGCTCCGCCCACGGAGGCAAACAGCAGTGTGACAAACAGCCCGAAGAGCTGATGCACGGCCTGTGATGTGGCACTGCGCTGGCCCTCGGCTATGAGTGGAAACACACTCTCCAGGCTGCAGAGAGACCAGGTGGTGGAAAGCCCGGACAGGGGTAGGAGAGAGACACGGACGGGGCACAGGGCCGGAGCTGCCCATTTCACCGGAACTCACCAGGGGACGGGAAGTGGCCAAGAGGGTCTTGAGGGTGAGTGCCAGGCAGACTGTCACCTCCAGGCCGTTGCTCAAGCCAGGCCCACAGCCTGGAGCTCCTCCCAACCCTCACAGGCCAGCAGACACCTAGGCACCTATCGAGATTCCGTTTGCAGGTTGCTTTTGCCCACCCTTGACGTGCAGAAATAGATCCTAAGGGTCATTATCTCTTACTGACCCTTCAGTAACACGTAACACTCTTGAAGTCATTTGTTCCATGACCTTCTGCTGCCCCTGATTGAGGACCAGGAGGGCAGTTTCTGGCTTGGTTTGGTTCACTCCAATTTCCTTTGCTCTCAGAATATGGATGAATGAATGAATTCATTCCCTTTTCTGGGTCACACACAGAGGAAGAGAATGACAGAACCCATTCCAGAGGGATGACGACTGCAGCGCGGGTTGGGAGGAAACTCACCCGTCTCCGTAAGCTTCACGGGTGGCAAGCCCGGCCACAAGGACCCCCAGGAGGGCCCCCAGGACCCCCGGCATCCCATGGAGGTTGTGGACTCCACATGTGTCTTGGACTTTGAATTTCAATTCAAGGATGGGCTGGAGGACAGGACAGATCATGAGTCTCCTGTGCCCACTCCCCACCTACCCCAGCCTGTTGGAGAGGTGGGAGGAAAGGCACAGAAGACTCCATCTTCTGCCCAGGGCCCAAGGGGCATCTATACCGTGAAGAACTTGTACCCCAGCGTGGAGACGGTCCCAGCCAAGAAGCCGGCTGCCAGAGACCCAAACGGTGTCAGCATCATTTCACTCGAGGTCCCCACCACAACCCCTCCAGCCAGCGCTGCATTTTGGATGTGGACCTAAGGGATAAGGTGTCGAAGGCCCTTTCAGACCGTCACACCGACAGCAACCCAGCCCTATCCACCACAGTGCCACCTACTGCTTCTGGAAGTCCCTCTACCATGTAACCTCTGACTCTCCTGCTATCATATCATCTCCCATTCTGACCCCACAGCCACCAGCTCACATGGAACCCCTATGCCTGTGCCCTTATGTATTCCCCTGGAGAATCTTTCTTGAGGGTCTCAGACCTCTTCTTCCCCACCCAGGCCACCCCCTCTGCCTCCCTGAAGCCTTCGTCCCCATACCATGTCAAGCCGCCCGTCTTCCCCGACAAGGGCTGACAAGGCAAAGGTGCCGAGGGTGCTGGCAGCCAGGGAGTAGTATGTGTTGAGGGCTGTCCGATGCTGCCCGGCCCCCAGCGCTGTGAGCGCAGAGTTGAAACTAGGCCAGAAGATCCACAGGAAGATGGTCCCTAGATGGTGGGCAGGCAGGCGGAGTGAGAGGAAGGAAGTGGCTCCCCCTCAAGGAACAAATTGTATGACTGCAGGCAAGTCTCATACAATCTCAGCAGCCTCAGTCTCCTCATCTGTTAAGTGGGATTGACGGTAATACCACCTTGGGCCGGGCGTGGTGGCTCACGCCTGTAATCCCAGCACTTTGGGAGCCTGAGGCCGGCAGGTAGCTTGATCTCAGGAGTTTGAGACCACCCTGGACAACATAGTGAAACCCCATCTCTACCAAAAATACAAAAAAATTACCCAAGTATGGTAGCACATGGGGGGGCTGAGGCAGGAGGATTGCTTGAGTCTGGGAGGTGGAGGTTGCAGCGAGCAGAGATGGTGCCACTGCACTCCGGCCTGGGCTGCAGAGCCAGACCCTATCTCAAAAATAATAATCATAATGATAACGCCACCACCTTATCAAGCGGCAATTAAATGAGGCAATGCACATCAATGCATAGCCCGTGGCCTAGCAGGCAAACACGCCCAGCAAATGGCAGCTCTTGAAGGGCACTGGCACAAAAAGAAGCTACTTGGTTGAAAACCACAGAACATTGAATTTTTTTTTTTTTAAGACAAGGTCTCACTCTACCACCCAGGCTGGAGTGCAGTGGCTCAATCTCGGCTCACTGCAGGCTCCACCTAGTGGGTTCAAGTGATTCTCCTACCTCAGCCTTCCCAGTAGCTAGGGCTTCAGGTGCCCACCACCATACCTAGCTAATTTTTGTATTTTTTAGCAGAGATGAGGTTTCACAATGTTGGCTGGGCTGGTCTCGAACTCCTGACCTCAGGTGATCCACCCACCTCAGCCTCCCAAAGTGCTGGGATTGTAGGTGTGAACTGCCACATCCGGCTGGAACGTTGACATTTTTTTAAGTATCAAATATGGAAAGGAAAAAGGCAGAGGACACTGTATGTCGGGTACTATGCTGGGTACTTGAACACATGTCACAAAAACAATGACAACCTCAATCTCTCCCAGAGAGGGCAGACCCGCGGCGTTCAGGAGAGGCCTCTGTTTGCTGAGTACTGAATGGGCTGGGCCTGTGCATTTTGGATAAGAACTGGGAGCCCATTTACCCTGCCTTTGTGCATGAAGTTCCCAGGTCCATCCTGGAGGAAGAGAGAGGAGCCAAAGGACAAGGTGAGGGAGAAGGCTGGGGACCCTGTGACGTAAACCAGCGTGGTGGGAGGCTGAGGGACCACCCTTAGTCCTGAGTAGTCTGTTGGGTGTGGCTTCTCCCAGCGGCCTGGCCATCTTGAGCGAAATCTCCCACACCCACGTTTGCATCCCGTAGGTGGAGCATTTGTTGGAGAATCCAGGAAGGGGCTTCATTACTGTCTGGGTGACACTAAAATCCAGGAGCTGGGAGGCAGAGAGCTGAGAATGCAAGTCTTCCGGGAATGCCTGGAAACCTGGGGAAGCCTTTGGACTTCAGGGCAAACTTATCTGGGTCTCAAAGGGCAAGGAGAGCTCAGCTGCCCTGGGGTTCCTGGTGCTCTGACCCAGCAGTGCTGAGCAATCCTAAGCCAGCCTCTCTCATATACCAATAGGCACTTCAGTCCCCATTCAGTACTTTCTACAAAGTAAAATAAAATCCAGATTGCCGTCTGTCAGCAGTTATGAAAATAGAGGAACGGAAGCCGAGGTGGAGGCACATGCTTAGAAGCAGGTGGCGGTGTTCAGGCACAGCGGCTCACGCCTGTAATCCCAGCACTTTGGGAGGCCGAGGTGAGCGGATCACCTGAGGTCAGCAGTTCAAGACCAGCCTGGCCAACATGGTAAAACCCTATCTCTACCAAAAATATAAAAAATTAGCCAGATGTAGTGGCATGCACCTGTAATCCCAGCTACTCAGGAGGTTGAGGCCGGAGAATTGGTTGAACCCAGGAGGTGGAGGTTGTGGTGAGCCAAGATTGCACCACTGCACTCCAGCCTGGGCAACAGAGTGAGACTGCCTCAAAAAAAAAGCAGTAGCAGCAGGTGGTGGTGACAGGGCTCCTAGCTCAGGCCCCATGGGTCCCTGTGGTGACCTAAGACCCTTCCTCTCCTTACTCCTGCCAGAGAGTGCAGGGGCTTCCAGGGAATCTCCCGGGAGGAAATATCCTTAGGAGGTGGAGGCAGCGCTAGGGGCAGGCAGAGATTGCCTGTTTGCTGGGGGAGCCAGACGCACAGAGGCCTGTAGGCCAGGGCAGGCAAAAGCTGAGTCTGGCTGGAGCCTGAGCCAGTGAGGAGGGAGGAGGAGGGCTGACGTGGAAGTTGAGGAGGCTGTTTTCTATCCTGTGGCTGGTGGGGGCCCTGGAAGGTTTTAAGCAGGGACGAGGTGGATTTAGAAAGGCCCCGGGAAGGGACCCAGGGCATGTGCATTCCCCAGGGCTGAAGTTTAAGATGACATAAAATCGTTGAGAATGATGAGCGCAGATCCCAGAGCTCTCACAGCAGAATCCAAATGGAAAGGGAGTGCCCAGGCATAACCCCAGGACCGCCGGCAGCACGCAGGAGACAGTCACCTCTGGCCCAGATCAGAGGCATTTAGACCAGCCCCTCCCCATGCTACCACCCCTCTGCAGCCCTCACCAATCATGGCGAAGAGGTCTGAATGGTAGATGGAGCCCTGGCGGTGCCTGCTCTTCTCCAGCTGGGGCCTGTACAGAACCCGTGAAAGGACCAGCCCGAAGTAGGCGCCGAACGTGTGGATAGTCATGGAGCCTCCCGCGTCTCTCACCTGGGGAGGTGCGGGGAGGTGGAGAGGCAGGCCCCTGCCCCATCCCCCCCCCCCCGACGCCGCCATGCTCCTGGCTCAGAGACTGACCTTGACCACCTCTCACCCCCTACCCCACCCCTCCCCAGACTCTTACCCCCAGGAGATTAAGAAGCACAAACTCATTGATGCCAAACAGCACCACCTCCAGCAGGGCCATGAGCAGCAGCTGTGCAGGCCCGGTCTTGCCCAGGATGGCACCAAAGGAGATGAGCACGGCCCCCGCACAAAAGTCAGCGTTGATCATGCTGGGGTTGGGGGCAGAAGGGGGAGCGAGAGGGGTCAGGGAGGCTGGCCTCTGGGCTTCTGCCAGGCATGAAGCCAGGACAGCATGACATGGTGGGTGCGGTGCGGGCGGAGTTCTGCAGAGAAGACAAGGAGCTCAAGCCCCCACTGGAGTTGGAAGGGGTCACCTGGCCCTATTTGTAGATAAGAAATGGAGTCTCAAGGAGGTTCAGTGACTCGGCTGACAAAGGCCACAATAGGTGGAAGAACCAGAGCTGTCTACCCTCCTCGAAGCTCTTGGGGATCAGGGGCCCTAAAGAATGAGGAGGTGGGGCTGAGTGTGAGGGTCAAGGACGAGAGAGGAAATCAGGCAATAAGGACAGGCAGGACACCTAAAGAAACCAAGTGACAGCCAAAATCGTGAGTCAGGAAGCAGGCTTGAAGGATAGGGCTTGAGCTGGGGCCCTTGGGCAGGAGCCTCCTGAGTGGGCCTGAGGGAGCTGGGTAGGTGGCTGCTGCCCACCTCTCGATGCCAACATGGATGTGGCCGCTGTCGAAGGAGTGGAGGAAGCCCTGAACCAGTGTGGACCACTGCAGGGCAAAGGAGGCCAGGAGGAAGGTGAAGCCCACACTGCTGAAGCCATAACGCTGCAGGAAGACCATGAGGAAGCCAAAGCCCACGAAGACCATGGCATGCACGTCCTGGAAGCCTGCAGTGGGCAGAGACAGGTGGGGCACTCGGGCGCTGCTCTAGCCATAGCCCATAAACCAGTCAGCCACCCTGCCAGTGCCCCTGGCTCTCACCAGCCAGGGCTGCCTTGAACCGAGCCTATAAAACTCCCCAGGCATGTCAGGGCCTCCCAGCCCGGAGACACCTTCGCAGAGCTGGCCAGCTTGGAGGAGTCGGACCCAGACATCCCTGCTGTCCTCATGCCAGAGCAAGGGAGTAAAGTCTTCTGCTCTCTGTTCATTTGCCCGGTCCTGGGTCTCTTACAGCAGACCGGCTGGAAGTCTAGCCTGTGCTCTTTCCTGCTGTAGTCCATGCTCAAAATTCTGCTAGCTACAGGCTTCTTTTCAACATTTCCTCTCTGCTAGAAAGCCCGTCTAGCCGGGCGCAGTGGCTCAAGCCTGTAATCCCAGCACTTTGGGAGGCCGAGG